GAAAACAATTTTTCATAAAATATTGAGTGCTGTTTTTCTAACATCCTTAAAAGGAATGAAGATAAATAAAATTAAAACTGTTTTGCTCTAGAATTCAGGAAAAAATTCCTTTTTGATCATTTAATTAGTATGACACATTTGAAAAACATGACAGCATGAAAAAAATATAAGGATTCAAGCAATTAGATAAACACAGAAATGCTTTTTATACTCAATTTTCTTGAAATGAAATAAATCTGTTTTCTAGAATACTGCCAATCTCAAACTGGGTTGAATGTCTATACATTTAATAAGCATTCTTATATTTAGAACTTGTCAAACTAAACGACTTTTAAAGGCTTACTTAAAACTATTCTTAGCCATTTAGTGGATGAATGGCTCACAGTCCTAGATTTGGCAAGTCTCTGATGTGTGTGCATGCATACGTGTGTACACACACACACACACACACACACACACACACACACACTTCACTGATTGGTATTTTATTGATTAAAGCAACAGGATCAAAACAAAAGTCAATAATTACAGATTGTCTTTTCCTCTAAGAAAAATAAGCAATTTTCATAGAAATTAACCCTCTCATGCTTATAATCAGCCTAATAAGCAAATGCTATATGAGAGATTTTATAACACGATTTATTCAGTTGCTCTCTGTAATGAACTTTCTCCCCTTAAAATAAAACCAAATAACATGCAATTTTAAAAATCTACCCTGGTTTGCATTTCTGTTTAAAATCTCTTTTCCAAAGAATATTTGATTTCTGTAACTCAAAACCCAGGGCCAGATAGGCTTGGTGCACTTTTTACTGTTTATTGCTTTCCAAAGGGTTGTTGCCTAGCAACTGCATGGAAGAAGCTTCTAGTACTTTAAATCATACAAGAGCTCAGAAAGCACTGTGAGGCAGACTTTTAAAAAATATTCTGGCTTATCAAAATGTAATTAGCAATTTCATGTTCCATAAAAGAAAGGGGACTTGCAAATAGATTTAATTCATGTCTATCTGTACATTTGTGTCTTTAGTTATAATTGCTTATCTTAAAAGCTTTTCAATTAAAAATAATAAAAATAGCAATAAAAGAGAATCTCATGTAATCCTACGATTTTAAAAGTCATATCCCCCCAAAACTGTTCCCACCCCGTGAGGTAGTTACAATTACTAGTATGATTCCAGTTCTTCCAGTTACCTCTGCTTATTCAGACATATGTGCACACATGGAGATACAAGGAGAATTCAGCATTTTTATAAAATTAGGACCATGGTTTAATTGTATACCAATGCAGTTATCTTATTTGGTTTTGCTACTTAAATTCTTAAAATATATCATTGGCATTATTTCAATAGAGTTTATTGAAATCTATGGTTTTATGCTTAATAAATCATTACTGTGATGGTATATAATACTTGTTTAGAATTCTGATCAGCAGTTTATACTGTTTGTTTTTCTCCTGAGAAAACCCTATGAGGTAAATGCTGTTAATATTCACATGTTCCAGAGGAGGCAAGTCAGACTTACAGGGACAGGGAACTCATTCATGGCCTGGCATGCTCAGTGGTGATGCCACCAGTGCTTATGTTCTATCAGCAAGCAACAGAGGAGAAAGATCTAAATCAAAACCAACAAACAGAAACTTTCGAAGGTCGAGAAGAAAATACCAGATAAAATGTATATAACTTTGAGAGAGGAAACACTTTCTTCAACAAGGGAGGGAGATTAGAAGCCATAAGGGAAAAGTGGACAAATGTGACCACTGCTAAGGCGCCATCTTTGTCTGCATAATCAAAGCTGGGTTTTTGCCACATATGTCATCTCACCAGCAAGGACTGAAAAGTTTCGGGAAAGTGGTTTTGTCAATATCATCCAGAAGTTGGACAAAACCTAGTCAAGTGACCATACCTAACTAAAAGGGAAGCTGAGAAATGTCATTTCTACCCGGGCAGCCTTGCGCCCAGCTAAACATGGGGAATGGGGTGGGGGAAGTGAGAGCCTCCATTACTAACGGAAGTGGAGACAATAAATATGGGGGGACAGAGAGTTTGGTTTCAGCCACAGTTCAACTCCGTCCACCCAAGGACTCATGTGTAATATTTTCCCTATAGCTTAAAATATTCATCAATTTTAGGAATACTACTTCAGTTATATCACTTCTGCATCCGGCTCAAAGTTCAAGATATCTGGATAAAACAGTCAGTTCTAGATGTGGTTCCCGATAGTTTAGCAACAGACACACCATAAATTCGTTAGACACCCCACCCCATATTAGTGGGGCAGAGGATTGCAATGAAATACTGGGTTTTGGGAAAGGGGAGAAAGGGAGAGACACAGCAGTCATTGGTCCATAGCAATGACGAAATCCTGCGGAACATGAACTGCAGAGACCTTCCAGTAAATTCCTTGACTAGACACCCATTCTGCTCTTGGAGAATAACTCCTTCATCTATTCACGAGCATGGCTCCTTGTTCACTATTCTCTGTGGCCACAGAGAAATTGGGGGAGATTTCTTCCAATCCTTTCTATGTATCAATAACTGGGCTCTATTTTCCCTGTACTTCATACAAATGAAGATTATGATCTAGTTCAATATTCTATCATATTCCTTTCCCAGTGTCACCCATCAATATTGATTAAATTGATTTTTTTTTCATGAAAAGAGTACTGATTTCACTTTTTATCTAACAAGGAATCCCATGACCATTAACGTTAACTCACTCATCTAAGACCATGGTTTTCAACCTATCTGATCTAATACCTCATTTTTACAATACATATTTTGTAATGCTTCCTTTAATACGTTGGAATGAAATTCAGAGTAAATATATCTGTACAAATATATTTAAAATAATTAATATAATACCCTAATTGTAATGTGAAGGAGAAACAGAAGGAAATGATGGATAACAAAGAGGTATATATTTCAGAACATAAATGTTAAGCTATGAATACCTAGGAAACACAACGGAAAAGATGCTTGCACCAGTAAGTATGTACCGGGCACCGACACTGGTCCTATCAGTAGTCATCCTACTTTTGCATTGATGACTCATCTACAATGTTAAACAGAATAAAGGAAATTTCCTCTGACTTTACGCAGTATTTGTGCTCTTAGATAATTCAGTATATAGTAAGACAGTGAAAAACATTCTTTATATTTATGTGTGAAATTGTCTCCAGTGATGGGGACTTTACTTGATGGGCTAATAGAGACTGCAGATCTTTTACCGAAATGTAGGAAAAAAGCATAAATAGAAATCAAAATGCTACCCATATCTTATTGAACATTCTCTTCCTTCCATTTCCCACTGATTGGTATACGCGGGAGACCAGCTCCCACAGGTCCAGGGAAGGCCCTTTGGTGGGGATGGCGTCGGCGGCAAGAGGCAGGGAGGCAGTGCGGCATTTTCACAAGGAGTGTCTCTCTCTTTTCTTGTTATTTATTACAGTAAGGAAAAAGAAAAACACGCGGAGACACAGGAGCGCTTTTTCAAGAAGAGCAGTGTCTCAATTTATTGTTATAGCATGTCCCTTTTTATACCGGACAGTTGACCATGACATCATTGAGCTATTTTTTCCAGAGACAAACTTTTACCCTTCTGCCTTCTACATAGTTTCATTATTTCTTCCTTCCCAAGGTCTAGTCTCCTTAGAAGTTTGTCCTTCCTAGAGATTTACTATCTCATGCTATTTCTGTTACAGGGTACAGCTGGATTTGTTTCATACTAATGACTAACTTACTTTGTCTTTACCTTTGATGGTCAGAGCTGAATTCCAGCCTTGGCATTGGAAGGATGTTTTATGGCCAATTAGTAGTTATCTCAAACACCATAGCTGAGCAGAATCCTGAGACTACAGAGTGCATGCTTTGCTTATTACTAAGAGATTAAGAGACTAACAGTGCGCCTAAGATTGCTTTTAGTGTATAAAATAGAATTATAGTAATATATAAGACTTACTAGGTTGATTAAGGCAAATAAAACAATATCGGAAGGGGTATCAGATCCTTATCCTACTGAGGGTGTAAAAAGGGGAATCTTTATTCAAGGCACAGCGTTTTTCCCACACGCTGGCCACACACACCTGCTCCAGGCCAAGGCCGCCCATCTCCCAAGGGATGGCGGTCACAACCTCTGCCAGCAAGCCGCTTCTCCCCCCCGGGGGGAGAGGGGAGTGGGGAAGCAAATGTTCTCAAAGCGAGACAAAATATAGCAAGCAGAAACTGCTAACAGGCTGGCAGTCCACTCTGTAACTTGCAAGGTTGTCTGTGACGTAGGCTTGCAGCAGCACAGTGGAGAATGAGATCTATCTAGCAACCTTCCCACACTGCTCACCTGGGCCTGAGAGCCTGTCAGCTTGTCAGCAGCCAGGCTTAACCCTTACTGCAGACCTCCGGCTCAGCACAAAAGAGGCCAATCCTGAGTTCTGCAAACTATTTTCTAATTAACCAAATAGCATTGAGGCATTAAATGATAATTAGCCCATTCAGATTAAGCTGGTCATTTCCAAACTCAATTCTTTTAAAACTCTAAGACAGAGTGCCCTAGACATCCAGCGGCTCCTGGCAGGTAGAGTTTCTGAAAAATTAGTCCATTCCAGCACAACCCTCCCTCCGCCATCCCCACCCAGACACAGTTCCACGCATTCATTGAGAAGGGACAGAAGGGGACCCTCGGAGGGTAACTGATGAGCTATTCCCAAACTACCACACAATTTTGAGGAGGCATAGAAAAATGAGACATGGTGCTAGAGGCTGTCACTTTTGTAAAAAACAGAGCTGGGTTTAGCACCCCCTTCCCTGGGGCTCACTTAACTCATACTCTAGAGCCTTTCTTATGAAACATTTTTTCCTGCGGATAAAACGGTACATGTAAAAACATCTCTAAAATAAGTGTTTGGATTGAAACTTCTGTAATTTTATTCAATTGTGTTATTTTTCCTATTATTTAAAGCTATGACCATCCCAAGGTAAATTATTCTAATTCACGTATTTTATCTCAAACAGATCATGTTGTGTGTGAAGAAGAATTTAAATACGCCATGCTAGCTTTAAACTGCATATGCCCAGCCACTTCCACCCTCATCACACTCCTGGTTCACACGTCTAGGGGGCAGTAAGTATACCTTTTCTTTGCATCTGAATAATGCATTTGAAGTTATAAAAACTACTATGAGTGCAGGGATGTGCTTTAGAAAGGCAGCAAGCCAAGGGGTGCAGCTAGATATGCAGCTGTACTTGTCTGTGTGAGTTCCCTTCATCTGATGGAGAGACCGATGGACAGATAAATGGACAAATATGCTACAGGGTCCAAGACATACAGAACATTGACAGGGATTTGCTGTCTCTTGTAACGAAACTTGAGATTAGTTTTATCCTAAATTCTAAGTGTCTACATCGTTTGTTAGGCCAAGGATTGGAGCATTGTTTCTATATTTGAGGTTGATACTTTGCAAATAAAACTTGAAAGAAAAACAGGTTCATGACAGTCACTGGTATGAAATCTTAACACCAATTTTTCCTATTCTTGAGATAAGTTTTTAATCTAAAGCTATATGTGTACAATGGACCTTGAAATTAAACATGTTTAATTATTATAGAATGATGACAAAGTAGTTTGGGGTTAACTAATGTAGTATAAAAGAAATCATTTTTATATGCATTTCAAGGTAGATGGAGAAAGTTTTATCATCAGAACATTGCATTCTCATTTATTTTGATAGAGTTCTATAAAATACAGAGGGTGGTTTTGACTTGGTTGATCAAGGAAAATATAATCAGGGAACTTGTTCACCCCTCTTCCTTAAACAGACAAATGTTGCACTGTGTTCATACTTTTTATAGTCATTACTTGGTAATTGAGACACAATGTTGGTTTTTCTAAGTAAATTTCATTGAGGTGCTTGTGGTGATGATTATTTAAATTAAGTAAGTTAATTAATAGTTATTTAAGTGAAGTGCCACATCAAATAAATCAAGAGAAAGGAAAATCCTTTCTTGGGATTTATTACTAGATGGAATAAATTGCTAATTGAAAAAGAGCAAGTGCCCTGCAGTATTTTTAAGTAGATTTTACTCACTTTCCTCTAATTACATCTCTCCTCTATTGAGGCAGTACAAGTTTCCCAGGAGCATTTTTTCCTATGTTCTGAAGAGAAATATTTCTGTTCGATACATTTACAAGCCTTTAATCTGTGCAGTGGAAAGGGTGTAACAAGATCATGAATGAAACTTTATCAAGGATGAAAGTACTCATCATGGTGGTAAAATTAAGTAAAACACTGAAAACTATTTTGATCCCAATTACTTGAACATTCATAGGACTCATCACATGGGTTTATTATGTCGCCATTCCTTCAACCTTTGTCACAGAGTCAGACCACTTTCAAGATGAACGATCTAGGCCAGCTTCATTGTACAAATGACAAAATGCGGGCATTTACACGAGCAGTATCATTCGTACACTGGTTAAGTTACATCATCCTACACCTAGTGAATATTATTTATTCTCCACAATATTGCCTGGTGCATAAATTGCACTTGACATAATTTAAAAACAAATTTCAGTGACTCTTAAAAGAGGGGTTTCCCCAAATATCCTAATGAATTTTTCCTTATTAAACAACAACAACAAAAGGAAAGTGGTTGAAGACATTGTCACCACGTCAGTAAGGATTTCCCATAAATAAGATTGACCTGCATAATTATTTCACAACTAAGTGTCACAACCAATGCAAGAGTCCACCAGGATAACTTTCTTTATGGCAACTTTCTTGGGATATAATTCACATATATATATTTCACCCATTTCAAGTGCACAGTCCAATGGTTTTTAATATGTTCATACAACTGTGCAGCCATCACCACTCTCTAACTCTTGAATATTTTCATCACCCCATAAAGAAACCCTCTACCTTTCAGCAGTCACCTACATTTCCCCCAGCTCTGTCAGCATTAGGCAACCCCTCAGCTACCATCTCTAAACATGTCCCTATTTTGGGTATTGTGTATTGCACATAATTGGAATAATATACTATGTGATTTTTTTTTTCTGGACTGGCTTCTTTCACTGGGCAAGACAGGCTCAAGGTTCATCCATATCGTAATATGCATCAGCACTTCATTCCTTTTTATGACTCAATAATATTCCATTCTATGACTATATCATGTTTTATTTTTCTAGTCATCAGATGATGGATATTTGGTTCGTTTCCAGCATTGTGAATAAGGCTGTTCTTAACACTTGTGTAAAGATTTTTGTGTGGACATATGCTTTCATTTCCTTTGGGTATGTATCTAGGAGTGGAATTGCTAGGACATATGGCAACTCTGTTTAGTCTTTTGTAGGAACTGCCAGAATTTTTTCCAAGGAGGCTGTAACATTTCGCAGCCCCACCGGCAATGTATTAGGGTTCCAATTTCTTCACATCCTTAGGAACAGTTGTTATTATCCGGCTTTCTGATCATAACCATCCTAGTGGATGCAAAGTTGTGTCTCATTGTGGTTCTGACTTTAATTTTACTGACGAATAAAAACACTGAGTATTATTTCATGTTTGTTTATCGGCCTTTTGTATATTTTCCTTGAAGAAAAACCTATCAGGTCCTTTGCTCATTTTAATTGTTTTTTTGTCTTTGATTATTGAATGGTAAGAGTTTTTATATATTCTAGTTACAAGTACCTTATCAGATAATATACCATTACTTGAATATAAATTATCATGCAGACAGAAAAGCACTTAGCTGAAATTATTTAATGAATTTTATTAACAATATTGTTTGACTAAAGTAATTTGTATCATGTCTTCTGTATTATGCATTAATTGAAGATATAGTTAAAATTCACTTATGAACAAAATGTTTGGTTCTGAAATTTTGCCCTTGAGCACCAGCAGAAAATAGAAAGCTCATGTATATTGATTTAAAAATAGAACAGACTTGCAAGCTGCAGTAAGTAGTATAGTGGGGAAAATGTTGAATACTCCATGAAATGCTTTATGTAAGGTTTATCAAACCTTTAACTGCAAACAAAGCTAATAGTAATACTCACATTTCTCCATTAGAAAAGGAGAGACTAGTACCATTAAAACTTTATTCTATAATACATGATGACTTTGAATTAAAATAGTTGATTTCACAAGCTATTGTGGACTCCTATATTAGTTGATACAAAGTGAAAAAAACAGCTAAGACTTTAGGATTCAACAAGCACAGAAATAAATATAATACAAAACCTATAATGGTCTATTTTAAAAATATATATTTTAAATAAAATGCTATGTAGATTGTAGATCACTAAAGCAATTCATAAATGTGAGTTCTGAAACAAACAAGACAGACCAAGGAATCAGCAGTTGGAGATCACAAGTTCAGCTTTTGTAGTGACAGATGTACCTCATATCACAGTAATAACAGAGTTTCTAATTCGAGCCAGAAGCAGCCGTATCCACTCAGTCACCACCATCCTTTCCTTCATTCTCTCCTTCTAACTGGTGGAAATGGGGACACAGATGGAAACCCCAAATTAAGGGTAATTTGCCTACGTCTGGATTTGTATAAAGAGAAGTATTCATTGAAAACAAAATTCTATCCTGTATTTTGGAGTCTCAGTAGCAACCTAGCCAATATCCTGACTGCCGATTAGCACTCTGACTTTCTTTTCCTGTATATTAGTATGTTGATTCTAGTGCTAGTTGATCTCCAAGTCAGAAAGGAACTTCGAGAGGACTTCAAGTAACTGCACTCCTTCCCTTCATTGGGAGTTCACTCTGTACCTCAGCACTTCACAATTTCCCCCTTTGCTCAGTTTATTACATTTGTGTCCAGTGCTCTTGGCAGGGGTATTTCTTATTGTTAATTCAATTAGCATTTTGATTTGTTTGGCAATGTTGCTATAAAGATGAACATAAGTTTATTCTTTGGACAAAACGTTGCTTATGCTGGTGGACACGGACCATGATGATTTGGGCAAAGGAATACCAAATTATCAGGCCAGTTAATAGCCATTTAACTGCCCCATCTTCACGGCACTTCATCCTCATGAAAATTTAATTTTATTTTTATTTTCCTTTCAATTGACTTTGATGAGAACATTTATTTAGTTAGTCCCATCCAAGAGGCAGCATTTTTGGTCTCAGTGATAACCCACGGGAAAGAAAGAATTGATAAAAGTATTGCAAAGTCAGAATTTACACATCTTGGCCCCTAGATATGCATGTAGATAAGAGAAAAAAAAAAGAAAACCACCTCAGTCAGTGAGTCTGGACAGCAGGAGACTCTAAGATGCGTGGTTGGGCAGAAAAGGGGGTCTGAGACTGGTTGTAGCTGCTTTCTAATGCAGATACAAATGACAGCGGCAACTCTGGGCTCCTGAGGAGGAATGATGGCTGCTCAGGTCTGAAATAACTTGACATTAATTTACCAAAAACCTGGAGGCTTCAGGTTTAAATAGAAATCACTTGGTATATGACATAAATATAAACTTTAAGTATTTTGAATGGGTGAAAATATATAAGAACCCCAAAGCTCGATTCCATGAATACATATCAGAAGGGTGAAGCAGAGTTGCTTTTATATTTTTGCAGAATCAATTTGAAAAAGCTGCAATTTGGTAAATGAGTTTCTGGGGGTGGGTATTTCATAAGAATCCCTTCATTAACTGACTGGGCAAGAATGTTATTTTCATCAATTGGGTCTGGAAACTGCAGATTTGGGTATTGTTGCAATGCACCTTGTGAAATGAAAATTAACTTACAGACATGAATATTAAGTTGTGTCCATTGTTTTTGAAGTAACTGGTGTCTTTCCAAACAAAATAACTTCGTTGGTGGTTGTTTCCTTAGCTTGCAAAATTTTGTCCTACCTCTAATGAAAGACAAAGCGTTTTATCAAATTATGGAGAGAGGGTCTCTGTGACTTCCTATCATGAACATGAGAACTGGATACATTTAAACGTCAGTGAATTCAGGCTTTCTCAAAGAACTACTTCTCCAGAGATTGCTTAATAGTTTTGTGAAATCGGCAACCACAGTGGAAACGCATTAAGCCAAAATGGAGTGTAATTAATGTGTGTTGTGTGTCGCGTATAAATAGCATTCTGTTATTCCCTCCAACTGC